GTGCTTCCTTGCGCATGTTCGGGGGTGCTTCCATCAATGGTACCTCTTGGAAGCACAAGCAATCAGCAAGACTCAGACGCCCACACCCCAAATCCGAAGCTCCAGGTATCCGTATCCGGTAGATCGACTGGGCTGTGCAGTCAGTTCTTGACCTTTTTGACATCAAAAGTTTATGATAGGAAAGATGGAAAGCGTGCAAGCCGCGCAACGGAAGTCTGAAGCTGCCCCAGTCTAAGCTAATTACGATGCATCAGCTGTTAACATGTGATTATGCCTGAGACCTCTTTCTGTGCTTGCGTTCATACGCTCGTGTTGCGGCAAATGTTTTGGCAGTATTCGTGCATTCGAGAGGCAATTCTGCAACCGTGATACGACTATGCTGGTTAGACATGGGCATTAGATATGTCGTCCAGCGCTTTTAGTGCTGGCAGCGAAATATGTCAACTGCCCCGTTCTGCAGCCCTTCTCCGACCCAGTCGAGTTCCGTATCTGCTGCAGCCATGCCACCATCTTCTGCGCAATGTGCAGTGCGTGTGCGGATGCCTGTGAAACGCACTTGCATTTTGAATGACCGTGTGAAGCTAATCTCCTGCTGAGTTCGAACATGGTTGTCAGGCAGCACCATGCCGCCGCTGGTGATCGTGACCAACTTGGCTGTTCATCCTTCCGATTTCTTCGGATTGCACCTTCTTCCAGCACGTTGCAGGCAACCACTGAGACCAGCTGCAAAAACGACTCTCCTGAAACCTCTTGCAACGGGTGGGGGCTTGCCTGCATCCGATGTTACAGACAAGAAACAGTTAGCTTGTTGTTCGGGAAATTTTGGTGGCGTACAAGAGTTCAAGGATGGGGAAGTGTGCCAGGTTTGCTTCGTCAAAAAGCTTGGGCAAGACGCGGCCTCCGTCTTGGCGATGGAGTCTTGCCCCATGCTTGTCTGGCAGCGTGCAATGCTACTGTGCATCTGGTGAAGTGGCATTGGCACCCTGTAGCGAGGAGCGAGGCCCTGACATCCAGCAACCCGAAATTTTATTGATCGTCTTCATTTGCTCTCGGTGCTCAGAGTGGACATGTTTCATGGAGTGCGACACCCAACCCCTGACGATAATGCTGCTGACTATGGCGACACTCACAGTCAGTATAGTAAGTGATGATGAAGCTAAGGAAGTGGGAGGTGGGAAGGAGAGACGGGAGAGTGCTGGTTGTGGTTCACGACGTCCCTCTTGTGGCGCTATTAGCGCAACTCCTACAAACCCGAATCTCCTATACTCCTGTTCCTTCTCCTACTACTCCCTCCTACTACCACTGCTACTGCTTCTGCTACTGCAATGGCTACTGCAGTGGCTACTGCTACTACTGCTACTAGTACTCCTGCTCCTGCTCCTGCTCCTGCTCCTGCTCCTGCTCCTGCTCCTGCTCCTGCTCCTGCTCCTGCTCCTGCGACTGCGACTGCGACTGCGACTGCGACTGCGACTGCTACTACTGCTGCTACTACTGCTGCTACTACTGCTGCTACTACTACTACTGCTGCTGCTGCTGCTACTACTACCACTACTACTACTACTACTACTACTACCACTACTGGTACTGCTACTACTGCTACTACGGCTGCTGTTGCTGCTACTACTACTACGACTACTACTACTACTACTACTACTACTACTACTTCCACTGCCGCGACGACGACGACGACTACTACTACTACTACTACTGGTACGACTACTACTATTGCTACGACTCATTCAAACTACTACCACCTCGACAACGCAAACTACGACGACTACTACTAGCACTGCTTCTGCTCCTGCTACTAGCACCACCGCCACCACTGCCGCTACCATGGCCACTACCACTACCACTGCTACTACGACGACGCCTACAACTCTACTTTTGCTACTGCTACTGCTAATGCTGCTTCTACTGCTACAGCTGCTACTGCCACTGCTTCTCTGCTACTCTGCTGCTGCAACTGCCACTACCACTACAAGTACCACGACGACGACAACAACAACAACAACTACTACTACTACCACCACCAGGGGCTGGCGAAGATGCAACAAACGACGACACTGTACAGCATGCCCAACATGAATCTGGGAAATTCCTTATCCAGAAGTTTCTCTGCAGTCTGTACTCGTCTTCGTCAGATCAACCTCATAGTCGCCATACAACAAACGGCGGTAGTTCAATTCGCAGCTGTTGTCACGTTAGTCTTTGGCATTGTGCAAGGTAGGGAGTGCTCAGGAATGCAAGTCGTCTTGTAGATGTTGGAAAAAACGGCTCGCCTCCAGGAACTTCGACACGGCCTTGGCTGCTCCCGTACGATTTTAACATTCCAAGGAGCCAAAAGGCACACCCCGTATGCTGCTGTTGGACCCCTTCGGCCTAGTGCCCAGAAGCCTGCCGTGCCAGCGATCCTTAACGGGTATGAAAGTTGCTTAGAGTTTGACTGCAGTGACAACAAGAATGCATATACACACACATATATGTATTCAGGGAAGCAGAACTCAGGTAAAAACCAAATAAGTGCAGACGTACACAAGTACGCATACCTCTAACTCGGCGATAATGGGCACTGATGCAGATCTCACGTCTCACGGCAATCAACACAGACACGTTGAGGCAAGAGTCGCACTGAGAATCATATTTTATCTTCGCATCCTTTCGTATCATGGGTCACACACCTCATCATGAATCAGGTCATGCGAGTCGTACTATGAAAGGTCCTCATAATCATCGACCAACCACCATGACGACTACTGCTAGTGCTGCTACTACTATGATTACTACTACCACCACCGCTGCTACTACTCCTACTACTACTACTACTACTACTACTACTACCACTACTAGTACTACTACTGCTACT